CTTTCCCCTCGAATCTCCGGGGTAGTTGCTTTACTAACGATCGATGAACAGTGCTCTAGCGATGGCGATTGCCAGGTTGACGAGAACTGCCTGAGCATGGCGCAGAACGTACGTCTGGAAGACTCTGTGGTTCGCGTTTCTTTGGCAGCACAGGGTCACTAACTGGATTTTTTGAATATAGGAGACTAGTCATGTCCACTGCGGACAGGAGAACCATCCTACTGCATGTTGGGCTGTAAGTGCCATTATTGTCTATATCACCTCTTGGATCCTCCGCTGATCAATTTCACTTCTGTTGGTAGGAGTGGTTTGAGTGAATCGAAGATTGAGACCGTTTACGCCAAGGGTATACGCCAGATTGATGGATGTAATGCAGCGGATGGATTTAATATAGGTAATATGAGTCTATGGAAGACCTCAATAATGACGACGATCATGGAGAATTCTACTTGTTTCCCTTCTTCCTGTCCTTCTTTTTTCATCTCTTTCGACTGGCAAGCCGAAGAGCGAGCCATCTCAACATCCACGTTTTCCCATACGAAAGCCCACACATAGCATAATGTGTCAGTGCTGATAGAATGACAAGACATGACAACCAATTCCACATCCGTTATGATGACGTCGCACAGCCACTTATCGATGTACTCGTAGCGAAGTTCAAGCCTTTTCGAATCCGAGATTGCGGCCGTAGACCAGTCTCAGAACACCATCTGATCGATAGATGTTTTGGGCTGCAAAGCAAAGCATCAATTGAACTGTTTTTCGCCTCCTCCTCCTCCTCCTCCTCCTCCTTTCCACAACCACACTGCTACGTACTGCTGTGCGGTGTTCCGTACATTCCGATATGATCTTCGCGATGGGGGATGGATGATGGATGCCAGACAAACACCGAGGAAGGATGGCAAGAGATCAGGCAGCTTCCCCCCCCCTAGGTATCCAGATCCCGGACGGCTCATTGGTGACAGAAACCCGATTCAGGGTGGCGGTGGCCATAAGTAGGTACTGTATTTGCTGTCCCGACTCTACGTGTATTCCCAATTCTCGCCTGCTCTATACCTTCCGGGTGATTCGTATCGGATGCGTGGAGGGACCAAGTGCCTTCGGGTTCTGATGGTTGATCGACAAGGGACTAGCTTCAGATTAATGGAGTCGGGATGAGGCTGTGGCTGGTGGTGTTGGGGGCCAAAGACGACATGACAATTGTATGATCAAGTTTACTGTACCGTACAGGGTAAATTGGGACTGTGGCTCAGTCAACTTGGAACAGGCTTGGTTTCGCAGTGCACACATGCTCCGTGACCGCAACTCAAGGCAGCCCGGTCAGGTGTCAAGTGGCTGCGACCGTGAGTTTCACTGTTCGAGCAAAACAAGAGTCACGCTGAATCGGACAATAATCATTGGTAGGGGATACATGTACATGTACAGCTCAGTAGTAGAGTCCTGTACAAAAAATGTGTGCGTTATCTGCTTCCATTCAATGATTCTGAGGGGAGACTCCACTCTCGGGCAGGACCAACTCACTCTTACCTTCGAAAGCCTTCGTAGCCTACAGTAACTGCTCCAGGCTGCACATACATAGCCTGGACTGGGTCCATCAGGTACCAGCGGAGTCCACTCTGTAGTAGTTAGTAGTTACCACTCGACCCTTTGGACTGTGCCCCTCTTTTCTTTTTTTTTTTTTTTCCCTTGCTTTGGTCTCCAGACAACCAAGCCCCCAGGGTCCATTTTTCTTTGCTCGCCCATGGGTACTGCAGCGGTTGTTCCCGTCCCTCTTCCCTTGGGTAAGAATCTTGTCAACATCCTTTCAGTGAACATGGCTGTGTATCTAAAAAAATAATTCTTTCTCTAGCCTCCGTGGTCTATTACTGAAGAGTAATATCCTAGAATCTTCGCATGTTGCCCTGACTGGAAGTTACCAGAATAAGCTACAGGAACATCCAGACTTGACAGCCGCCGCTAAGTGCGTTAAGTTACCCCTCCATTGAAGCCATCTGCTGTACGGTAGACCAGGCTGCGTGTAGTATACTCTTATTTTAAGGGCTTGTAAATTCCATGGGTCAGCCCTACCAATGTAAGGTGGTGTGTGGAATGGAGCATGTTATCGAAGGACAGACAATACAATTTTCAAAGTCTTCTTGGTCTGGTCTCCGGCCTATCGTAACTGAGAACAACTGAGCCCAGGCAAAAACGACGATGACAGGTTCGGATGCCAGATGATCAATCAACTCGGCCCAATGATGCCAATCATTCATTCCCCCACTTCAGCTGAACAAGACAGAACTTAGGAAGGAAGAGAATACTTAGAGGCACGAGGGAAGGCTTTGCACCTGCTCGTTTCTTTTCTTGTTTTTCCCTTTCCTTTCTTTGCCTTGCATCTCGTCCGTCTCTTTTTCTTTCTTCCCTCTTCTTTCTTTTCCCATCAGCCCCTGGGTTTATTCATCGTTGAAGTTTGGTTGTTATTGTTGTTGGCGCCGTCTCTTACTCACCCCGCCTACCAGCATTATCACCACCACTGCTATCACTACGTACTGCTGCTGTTCTCCTCCCAGCCTCCTTCCCCCTCTTCCAATTCAGCCCCGTCGACGTCACCGCCTGCCATCCAGTCATCACACCCCCTCCTCATTCCTCTTCCCCCACCATCCAACGGTCTGACTTTATCCAAAATCAAACACCACACAATCACAACAAGAAAACATAGACTGTGAGCAAGTTATATTGCCAAAGGAGAGACGCAGAAGAAGAGACATAGACTTCTCGCAACCAAGAACCAAACAACCATGGGTTCCCGTCGACGTCACGTCCTCCTCACCGACTCCGAATCGGACTTCTCCGAATCGGATATCTCGATGGTCGAGTACCCCGGCCGCAAGGTGAGCCATCGTCACCGCTCCGTCTCGCGGCACCGGCACTTCAGCCCGGAGTACAGCAGCAGCAACGCCTACCTCAGTCCCGTCCTGCACAGCGACGCACAGCAGCAGCACCTCCACCGCTCCGCCTCGACGGGCGCCCGCCGCCGCCCCGACCGTCACCACCGCGACCACAGCCAGGCCCCCGTGGCCGTCATCGTCGACGTCAACAACCACAACGACACCAAGTCGGACAACAAGACCGACACCAAGACCGACGCCAAGACCGACTCCCGCAACAAGAGCGCCACCAAGCAACGCAAGGCCGAGCACCGCCTCAACAACACCTACAACATCGACTACGACGACTCCGAGGATGAGACGAACCTACGCGCCCACCGCCGCCGGCCGCGCTCCAGCACCGCCAGCATCTCCCGCGAGGCGTCCCCGCGCGCCCCCGCCGTCGGGGCGCCGCAGATGATCCCCGCGGGCCGCGACCGGGACTTCGAGCTCGTCATCGACCAGCGGCTGCTGGAGCGGAACGACGCCCGCCAGGACCTGGAGCTATTCCGCCAGCAGCAGGAGATCGAGCGGCTGGAGCGCGAGCTGGCCCGCCACCGCGAGGTCCGCGAGCACCAGCAGGAGTACCGGCCGCACCACGAGGTGCGCATGCTCAAGGAGGAGGAGGACTGGTACGAGGACGAGATCAGCGAGCGGCTGCGCCGGCTGGAGCGGTTCGAGAAGAAGCAGCGCATGGAGGAGGAGCAGCGCCAGGTCGAGCACCGCTACAAGCTGATCAAGTTCGAGGAGGCCCAGCGCCAGGCCGCCGAGCAGGAAGAGCTCAACCGCAAGATGCGCCAGAAGCGGCTCGAGGACCTGCAGCGCAAGATCGACGAGGAGGAGGAGCGCGAGCGCATCAAGAAGGAGATCCGCGACGAGGAGGCCCGGCGGATCCTCGCCGAGCAGGAGCGCGCCCGCAAGGAGGCCGCCATGAAGCAGGCTGCCATCGACGAGTGGAAGCTGAACGAGGAACGTCGCATGATGGCGGAACGCGAAGAGAAGAAGCGCCGTGATCACGAATTCAAGGAGAGATTGAGACTCGAGTTCGGCTACAATGAACACGAGATTGAGGAGATCCTCCGGAAGAAGGACAAGAAGGAGAAGAAAGAGGAGAAGAAGGAAGAAAAGAAGGAGGAGAAGAAGGAGGAGAAGAAAGAGGAGAAAAAGGAGGAGAAGAAGGAGAAGGAGAAGCTTCCGGAGCCTGAGCCACACCAGCGCACCACCTGGATTAAGGTATACCTCCTCCCCTTGCAAGATACCTGACTATAAAGCTGACTGACTGGCATTAGGTTCACCGCAAGCATCTGCTCCCTGATACACTGATTGCCTATCGCCTTCCATGGGACTGGGACGATGTACGTTAGCCCCTACAAGAACCCGATACTCACATATATTACTACACTGCTAACTACCCCCTCCCATCACAGCTCGACAGCAACTACATCATCATCAAGCAATGGATCTCCGAAGACTTCCAGGAAGAGCTCTTCGCCCACACGCGGCGCTTGCGCGAAGGCAAGCTCGTCACCCAAACCTCCAGCACCCTCACCGAGCTTAAGGTCAACGACAAGAAGAAGGACAAGATGTACCTTGTGAGGAAAAAGAACCCCGGTGGCCGAGCCTGGATTCTTACCTGATCACGAGCTACAAGCCACCACCACACCACCTGATAGAACAAAGTACACACACACGCCCGCCGCCCCTTCTAACTGCTTGAAATTATGATACCATGATCTTGTCTTAACGTCTGTCACGAAATTCGGTATCATCCAGCCGCCATTTTCTTTCTTCTCTGTCATGTTTCTCCTCTGTTCTTCTGCTTTCTGAGAGCTCTCTTGTCAAGTCTGTGATACAGATCCAGAGTCCAATTGGGGGATGTCAGGATGCTATCTATGTCAAGTCCAGTATTTTCTTGATTTCCATTTTATCATGAGTTGGGATTTTGAACGCCTTTTTTCCTAGTCTTCCAAAGGAGTTGAACATACGATATGATACATTTGCATGTGATGCAGAGAGTGAGTGATTTGTCGAGCCCTTTCATCTATATAATTCGTAAGAGGGAAAGAGATTCCGTTGAGGGGAGGGTAGAAAGGGGCGGGGGAAGTGAACTTCCCCCTTCCTTAGAGTATCATTTTTGTGACGGTATTCATGAGCGTGTTTCTCCCTGCGCGGCCCACTGCACCTCAGCGCGCAGGATCAGCTCCTCGTACACCGTCCAGGCGAGCGCGGAGCTGAGGGCCTTCCTCGTGATGCGCAGCCCCAGCCCGCCGAACAAGCTCCGCACCCCGTCCTCGCGGACCATTAGCCTCGCCGCCCGCATCATATTGCCGTACCGGCCCGGCATGAGCTGCAGGCGCGTCTTGACCGCATCGAACGGATTCGTGATCGCCGTGGCCAGACCCGCAGCCAACCCCCCGGAAACAAAATTGATCGACGAGGACGAAGTCGACCGCAGCGGCGGCTGCTGCTGTTGTCCCTCCGCCGCGGTGGCGGCGGCGGCAGCAGCAGCGCGACTACTCGCCAGCGCGGCCAGATGGCGCTTCAGCTGCTCGTAGAACAGCACATAGAGGCCGGCGTAGGGGGCGTCGCGCGCGGCGGTGGCGCCGAAGCCGCTGAACAGGCCGCGCACGCCCTCGGTGCGCACGATGTCCCGGCCCGCGCTGAGCAGGCTGCGGTAGGCGTAGAAGTCCGACTCGTAGCGGACCTTGAGGACGGTCACGGGCATCATGACAAAGCCCGCGGCCACGCGGGCCGCGGCGCCGGTGGCGAGGTTGGCGGAGTTGGAGAGCTTGGGGAGGGCGGAGGAGGAGGAGGATTTGCTGGTTGTGGGATTGCTGCTGCTGCTGCTGGGACTACTGGCAAGGACGAGGGGCATCTGGGTCTGGGCCAGCCCTTGGCGGAGGGCGTTCAGGCTGGTGAAGTACAGGGCGGAGCCGAAGCCCGTGCGCAGGGCCGAGGGGAGGGTGCCGCGCCATAGGCCGCGGATCGGGTGCGGGGAGGAGAGGATCGCTTGGAGGGTCGGGAGGAGGGAGGCGCTCTGCGATTGCTGCACGCGGGTCTTGAGGAGGTCGGCCGGCTGCAGGAGGATGGAGGAGGTGAGGCCCGAACAGAGGCCGGCGGCGAAGTGGAAGGTTGTCTTGGAGGCTGGGGGTTGTCCGGGTGAGTTAGTGGGCAGACATGGTTATTTGCTTATAGGCATTTTGGAGGAGGTGGGGGGAGGGGGGTGAGGCAGGGCTTGGTTTGGTGTCACTGGAGGCGCAGACTCACGCGTGGAGGTTGTTTTCACCTGCGTCACCGCGTAAGAGGCATTGTTCGACATGTCTATGGAGGTCTCCCTCAGGTCGGTCTTGGGGAGGGCCTTCGATGCGGTAGAGGGATGTTGGGTGATTGGTATGCGCAAAGCCTCAGTTCATTGGAAACTTGAGAGGTCTCTGGGTGTGAATCGATGGAGAATTCCGAGAGTCCTAGATAAGCCGCATCCAAGCGGTCACATTCACGTTGATAGAGGCAATGACAACATTTCAATCGATACACAGAGAAAGAGATAGGCTTCGCGGGCAAGAGATAGGGCGAAGGCGAAGGGCAATCCGCCTGAAGCAAGTCAGGTACAAAGTTCCAACAGCACAAAATAAAATCAATGAAGAAAAAGAAAGGAAAGACGGTGTAGAGTGGATGGGAAGAATTGCATGGGCACGTTCACAGAGACTCTCTCGGGAAGGGCCTCGGACGGACATTTTGGACCCATCCAATTTTCCTGAAGCGGCCAAAAGCGGATCCGCTGGTAGGAGCAAGTGAAGTCATCAACCTGGAGTCACTGGCCCTGGAAAGCAGGCTGATTGGCGGATCCGCACTCTCTACTTGCCCGCACTCAGTGCCGTTCACTGTTCAGAGACTGTTCTTCCCGGGTGTCCCGCGCAAGGGATGGATGGATCGCATTGCAGCTTAAGCTTATTATTATTATTATCTCCAGATTGACGGACAATAAGGGTTTGAAATTATCACAAAGGGCTAGTAAGTAACTAGTGCCATGGCTCTGGGATTCTCAATGCACTTGTACCGTACATTGTACTCAGTACTCTTCACGGTCTACTGTGATTATGATAAGTGAGGAACTATGTTGCACCAGTTCCGACAAGGGCGTAGACCTCGTGTACAGTACCAGTACCTTTCCTATGGTCTCACTCGCAATCTACGCCTCTCCTCTGCCTAGCATCCAGCCACCAAAGCTTCTTTAAAGCAAAGCCAAATACCTTTCCCGAATATCCTAGACAATCCGTACAATGGAGCGATCTGATGTGCCTCGAGCACTGGACGGATGGCAACCTTGAAAGACGATTGTCTCACCCAGAGCATGTGCTGCGGGAGAAGGGCTGAACGCAGAAGAATGTTACCCTATCCTCAAAAGAACATTCAATATTGCTGGAGAATAAACCGACCATTTATCTGGCCGGGCCAATCGGCAGGCAATGAAAGCAGCCTGACAGTCTGACTGGGCCGGGCGCAGATCAACAGTGGTTGTCGATCGACGTCACGGGTCTGAGAGGAGTCAAGAGAGGGAAGAGAGAGGGAGAGTGTGTGTGGAAACTGGAGACTCAGCTGGGACTTTCCAAGGCAACTCCAATCTGTCAACCTTGGCTTTCACTTTTAACAACCCTTCTTTTTTTTTTTTTTCTTCTCTCTCTCTTTTTCCCGATTCTCATAACTGCCATGCTCTTCTACGTATAACCCAGGTTTCTACACAGTTTCGTCGACTTTGAGAGCTTGTCGCAGCCCCTCTTCCCTGCGGAGAGCTTCTCTCCTCCTTCTCCTCCGTCCATCATGTCTCGATGGGCTTTCCTTCCGAACATTCCGTATCCGCCCTCGAGGCCGGGATACTGGAGCCCCGTCACATCCACCCTGAACTGGTGTGAAGAGGTTCGTCGCCATGATCTGGTCGCCTATCTGAGGATTACATATAATGCTAACAGGTCTCTTGCATAGGATTACTATGCTACGATTTACTCCGCCGAGATCGTCAACACGCTGACAAACCTCCTGTTTATGTGGCTCGGGATCAAGGGCATTCGCAGCTGTCGTCGCAACGGACATGACAGGATCTTCGAAGTCGCCTACTACGGCTACCTCGTGGTCGGAACAGGCAGCTTTCTTTTCCACGCAACGCTGAAATGCAAGTCAACCTTCCTAACCCCACACCCATACACCCTGGGCTGAGGACTGACCGGTTTCCTCTCCGCACAGATCCCATGCAGCTGGTGGACGAGCTGTCCATGATCTACACCACCTGTCTGATGTGCTATGCCTCCTTCTCCTACTCCAGACCCACGCCCTTCCGCATCCTCCTGGCCTTCCTCCTGGCCGGCCTGGCCATCTTCATCACCCTCTATTACCACTACCTCCAGGACCCCGTCTTCCACCAGAATGCCTACGCCCTCCTGACCACGGTCGTCGTCCTGCGCAGCATGTACACCATGGAGGTGACCCTGCGCCCGCGATGGCGCCACTCCACCGAGGCGGACCGGCTCGCGCGCGAGCGACAGGGCTTGCCCGTCCCGACCAAGGAACACCAGCACTACGAGAACGTCCGGGATATGAAGACCCTCAAGACCATGTGGTTCATGGTGGCGTACGGCCTCAGCATGTTCTTGGGCGGATTCGGGATCTGGGGCTTGGACAACGTCTTCTGTTCGAAGATCCGCGGATGGCGCCGGGAAGTGGGTCTTCCTTGGGGGATCCTTCTTGAAGGCCATGGATGGTGGTATGTTTCTTGTTGATCCTTGGCGTGTCGTGCCAGGTGATTTCGAAATGAATGCCTGGAAAGAATGCTGACTTGGATCTTGCTTAGGCACTTGATGACGGGGTTCGGCGCGTATCTGTACATCATCTGGGGCATCTGGCTCCGTCATTGCCTGAACGGTCGCCAGGAGGAGTATCATCTGTGGTGGCCCCACGTCTGGAATTTCCCTGAGGTCATTCGCACGAGCGACAAGGGTAAGAGTGAGAATGGCGCGGCCAAGAAATCGAACTAGATCGAGTATATCTTTTCTTTTCTTGTTCTATTGTTTTAGATCAGCCGCTTGGTAGTGTGATCCGAGTACTGGGAAGTGAGCGTTTCGTTGTCTGTGGTCTTGAGCTAAGAGAACTGCGCTGCGGACTGGGACCGTGCTCATTGCCGTCATCTCGGCCACGCTCTTGGGACCTTATACTACTTATAGAAGTAAATCGAACCACATTCAATTGCTAAGCGAGACATCAGTCCGTGCATGTTCCTGCTGGAAAATATTCTACCGTACATATACAGTATATAATCTCTAGCGCACAAATTAACATAGTCATCTATGGACAAAAGCAGTCACGCCATCCCTTATAACTTCGACTCAGGCGCAGCCTTCTTAGGCCTCTCCGCCCTGGGAACATGCTCCTTCCACCGAGCATCGATGGTGACCTTCTCAACCTTCGACTTCTTATGCCACCGCTCCCGGAAGGCCGCCTCCTCGGCCCGCCACCGCTCCAGCTCGCCCCCGAGCCACTCACTCGCCGCCTCGGCGCACTGCCCCGGCGCCTCCTGGGCCAGCAGATGCCCAAAGTCCTTCAGGTAGACCTCGCGCACCCGGCCCGCCGCCACCCCTCCACTGCCGCCGAGCCCCGTCCCCGTCGCCCTCAGCTTATCCGCCATCATCTCCGGCAAACACATATCCGACCTCCCCGCGAAGACGTAACAGACACTCGGCCGGAGCTGCGGCAGCATCGCGAACACCCGCGACGGCTCCGGGCGGTAGAACGGCCACGACCCCAAATGCTCCGGGTTCAGGTCCGGATGCGTCGTGCGGTCCACGGGGACTTTTCGGCCCGGCGGTCCGTCGTAGTTGGGCCGCGAGAACGTGAAGACTTCCTGGTGGAGGGTGGTTTTGAGGGTGACGGGGCGGTTGTCGGCATCGGCATCATCCTTTGGGGGGTCCGACGGGTGGATCGCGGTGGGCAGGTCGCGCAGACCGTGCTCGATCCACCGGGCCAGCACGCGCGCGTCCCACGCCTGGTAGAAGGGGCTGCGCTGGAAGCTCGCTGCGGCGGCTGCGCGCGAGGGCCACACCTCGCGCCGGTAGGTGGAGAGTTGCGTGGTTTTGGCGATCGTCTCGCGGTGGTGGTGCGCCATTTCCAGGTGGTCCAGTTGTGTGGATTCGCGCTGGATGACCGGGTCCAGGAGGATGAGGGTGTGGATGAGGCGCGGGTGCATGAGGCTTAGTTGGGTTCTTTTGGTTGGGGGGTTAGTGGAGGGGGCCCAGTGGGTGTTGATGAGGGAGGAGGGAGGGGGGGGGATTCCTACAGGTGTGCGCCGCCCATGCTATGGCCTATGCCTACGATGGGCCGTGGCATCTCCTTGCGCTTGACGTTGAGGAGGTGCAGGAGATCTCGGGGGTGGTCGAACCAGCTTGCTGTTTGCGTGGGCGCATGTTGGTCAGTGGCTGTGACTTTGGGAATGGGGTTGGAACTACCTAGGTACACATACGGTCATTTCCGAGAAGGTCCTCGTTCAACACACTGCTCTGGCCCTGGTGGGCTACATCTGCCATCCAGATGCTCCGGATTCGGAAGCCATTGGCTTTGGAGCGTGTGTAGATCTCTTCCCACAGGGGCTCGTACAGTTCCTGGCGATGAAGGGGTCAGCTGGGTTGTCCTGGTTGTCGGTGTGGGGAGGCGCTGTGTGACAGCGGGAGTGGATTCCGCAGCGGTACCTTGGGGAAGCCATTGGCATGTGCGGCAAGGATTGTGACGTCTCTCGGCTGGGGGTTGGGGTTGTCCAGTGGGATGTACTGTTTGACTGCAAGGTTTAGAATATCCTCTTGCTCGTTGGCGGTGGCCGCGGGATACTCTCGTATATGTTGGCATTCGACCGTGTGCTCGACTACCCGAAAGGGGCCGGATGTCGCTGGTGACGAGGACATGTTGGTGGTTGGTTTCTATGGGGATATATGCGCGATCAGAGGTTATAGGGAGGCTATGCATATATAATACTTCAACCGGTGCCTTGGGGCGTGGGGAAGGGAAACCATTTCCCCAGATCGGAGTGGTGAACTGCCGGGGTTGGAAACGAGCCGAGGTTGATTTGTAGAGTACCGATGGATGATGACACTCTCATGTTTTTTTGGAGATGATGACAAGAAGTGAAGCACTTATCACATCACCAGGCAAGATGGCCGAGTTGGTCTAAGGCGTCAGGTTAAGGTTACCTTAACACATAGCTTCACAGCTTCCTGGTCATCGTTTGATGGCGTGGGTTCGAATCCCACTCTTGTCATATTTTTTGCCCTTTCTCGGCCGTTGATCTATCTATCTTCGCCTGTGTTCAATCATGATTGTTGATACAAACTTTAGACTTCACTTGATTCTTTTTGTTTTTGTTCTTGGGGGGACTTGGGGAAATTGATTCATGGCGATGGAATTGATTGTTTCTGAAATAAGTTGTTGCCCGGAACGATGGCGTAAACGACAAGTTCCTGTGCGGTATATATCTTGTGGAAATTGGGCATTCTCGCGGAAAGAGATGCTTCGAATCCTTCTTGTCTTCGGCGACGCGTAATTTCCGGCTCAACATGGCTGACACGAGCATGTAAACTTAGTACTTACATGACAATCAACTTATCGACGGTCAGGATTTGTATATTGACCACGCGAATGTGTTACTACTAGAAGATAGTGGCCGGTTCAGTCAGTCCGTAAGAGTATATAGCACAACTCACCACCTCTTACACTTCCCCTGAAATATCATTAACACCCCGACTTCTAACAGACCACGCACTGTACTTGTCATCCCCATGGGACTATAAACAATGACACATGGGAACTTACTGCTACCCGATGATGCCATTCAACCACGCTGATCTGTGATACATCTTATCTCCACGTGACGTGGTGTCGTGCGGCGCGTCGGCGCGTCGCATTTGCAACACCACGAGGTTCAGCTGCCACTCGATCGCCCCTCAGCGCATACACCAATCCTTACACCACTCGGCCAAACACACGGTCGCCGCAGCCTACCCTGAAAATCAAACAGAGCCACCGGAACAGCTCCCACCATGGGGGACCAAGGTGGAGAGAGTCAACTCTTCAACCAGTGCAAGATCTGTATCATATGCTCCAAAGATCTCCCTGCCGATGCGGCGCATCAAGTCTGTCACCTTATCCTCTCGCGCCCCAATACTACTGAAGAAGACAATCACTGACTCTGGCTTCACACAGCTGGCATTCACTTTTGAGCAACATGGCGGCGAATCCGTTATTTACGAGCCACCGGCCGAATTCCCGCCCCTGACCGAATTCACGCACCTGATGAGCTGCACCGTCGACTTCCCCGCGTTCGAGGCCGCAAATGATGCCTTGATCCCCATTGTCAAACCATACTGGCTCCAGTCCTGTCTTCAGAAGCGAAAGTTGGCCAACCCACGGCAATATAGCCCAGATCCTCGACTGATCCTCAACGATGTGGTGGTGACTTGCGGTGACATCCCGGAGGGCGACAAGGAAGCAATCATCGGAGGGGTTCTCGCAAAGGGTGGATTGTATAGTCCCAGAATCTCACAGCCGGTCACCCACTTGGTTGACCTGACCGCGGACTCGGACAAGGCCCGCTTGATCATCGCGAAGAGGCTCAAGATCAAGATTGTCTTGCCCCACTGGTGAGCAGACCCAGAGCGAAGCTCAATCTGGTAGGTCTAACGCGAATTTTTTTCCAGGTTCGACGACTGCCTCAAGCTTGGACGACGAATTGACGAGCGCCCCTACCTTCTCCCCGACCCCGAGATTCTGCGTGCGGCGCCCGACGCTCCCATTCGCTCAGCGGAGAACCGAGACATCATCGGTGCATCGACACCTGACCCCACTAATCTACCAGTCGCCGTGCAGTCCTCAGATGATTTGCCCAGGCTCAATGTGTTCGAGAGCAAGAGTGTCATGCTTGCTCCGGACCTTGGGATCGGGTCGCGTCTCTCTGGCTCGATTGGAGACATCATCAGGGAGGGTGGGGGCTCTGTTGTTTCGGACATATCAGCTGCGGACATCCTGATCTGTCGCTACCGAGAAGGATTCGCCTACCGCATGGCGTTCCAGTTGAACAAAGATATCGGTAATCTATCCTGGCTCTACCACCTCATGACATACAACACCTGGACTTCTCCTCTACGACGACTGTTACACTACCCTGTTTCACGCAAGGGTATCCCGGGATTCCACGGGTTCAAGATCAGTCTCTCAAATTATGTCGGAGAAGCGAGGAGCTACCTGGAGCACCTGATCACAGCCACAGGCGCCGAATGCACCAAAACCCTCAAGCAAGAAAACACACACCTGGTGACCGCGCATGGAAACAGCGAGAAATGTGCCGCAGCGAAGGAATGGGGGCTGCAAGTTGTCAACCACCTGTGGCTAGAGGAGAGTTACGCGAAATGGAAGCTGCAGCCCGTCTCCGATCCCCGCTACACGCACTTTCCCAAGAGAACAAACCTGGGCGAGGTTGTGGGCCAGACCAGACTGGATAAAGCCGTACTCGAGAGTCAGCTCTTGCTCGAGAGCAACAACGGGGCTCAGGCACCGTCGAGCCCGCGACCGGTAATGCAGCACAAGGACCAGAACACGGTGACCTCCAAGACGCCGAAAATCGTTCAGCAGTCTTCCGCAAGAACTGCTGAGTCGGAAACCGAAGTGCCGCGCACGTCAGGTGCTACACCGCGGGTTGCGGACAAGTCCCGGAACGCCATGGATCCTCCAAAACTGCAGACACCCGCTCGGACCCGGCTCACTTCCGAAGGAAAGGAGAATGATACGCCATCGAGCACCAGCAGCCGCAAGTCAAAGGAGGTAGCCGCTGCTCGACTGCATGATCTTGCACCCGACATGGCGTTGTATGAGAAGGAGAAGAGGCGTGTTGGGGGTGTGATTCATGGTGGCCGGAGGGTCTCAGACGAGGATCGCGTAGTACTTAACCCCAGCAAGAAGCGCGTGTCTATGGAACCGCAGGACGAAAGCGACGAGGATGAAACGACAGAGACAAAGAGACAGAAGAAGTCCAGACCCCCTGTTGCGATGCATCTGCTGATTACCGGATATCAGAAATGGGTTAAGAACCCGAAGACAGAGGATTCTGACAAGGTATGTCTTTAACATTACGACCAAGACTTTGCGATCTAACCGTCCACAGCGACAACTACGTGACCTCGGAATTTTGGTAGTCCAAGAAGCGAAGCGGTGTTCTCACCTTGCCGCACCGTCTATCCTCAGGACACCGAAATTCGTGAACGCATTGGCCTACGGACCAGTCATCATGAACATCGATTTCGTCACCCAGTGTCTCAAGCAGAACGCCCTCCTAGATCCTGCCGACTACACTCTCAAGGACAAGGCTTCCGAGGAAAAGTACGGATTCAAGCTTGAAAATGCCAGAACCAATGCCAAGGCGAACAAGAACAAGCTGTTGCACGGATACCAGATTTACTGTGTGGAGACAATTCGTGGTGGGTTCGATGCATTCAAGTCCATTGTGGATGCCAACGGTGGCCAATGCACTTTGTTCCGGGGTCGGGTCTCATACCGATCACAGAGAGAAGAGAGCGAGGAAAGCTCGGAAGATGACGACCCCAGTCGCAAAGAGGTGTATCTGCTGAGCAGCACGGAATCGGATCAGGTGAAGACATGGCCACGCTTCCGAAGTATGGTTCTGAGCACCAACAAAACGCCACGGATTGTCCGTGTGGAATGGCTTCTCGATATGGCTATGTCCCAGAAGCTGCATGCTGCGGATGCCTACGAGCTGAGCGAAGAAATGGCCGAGGTTTCGGAACAGTAAGCAGGTCGAGATCTGTATGGTGTTATGAGTGCTGCGTCCAAGCGTCTTTGCTGGTTTGAAAGAATTGATAGGCATGACTTCTTCAGGTCACTTCGCCGGGGGCTTTTGTAAATGACTTACATTTTGCATGAAAATAGCTTGTTGTGCCCGCAATCAATTTGTCCAGATATCACGAACAGATGACCGTCTAGAAGAATTTGACACCTTCTTGGCCTTCGCCACCAAAGACCTGTGCCTTGCCTCGTTTTACCAGTACATTGAGGCACTTGAGCATCACGTCCGTATCCATACCGTGCCATTCTAGCCGATCAGTTCCTCTGTTCGAAGGATGGCTCACGGCACAACATACCTTGTGACAACGTCCCCTCCCCCTCCACCAACTCATAGACCGTCAGAACCACATTCTTCTGTCCTGTATTCTCCACCTGCGATCATAGCCAGGTCAGCAGCGAAACATGGCATCCATGCGCACTCTCCACCCCCTCTCATAAGCCTAGCGCAATCCACATACCCAATCGGCCACGATCCCCGCCCATTCCTCGGGTCTCTTCCACCAGATGCGCGCCACGGTCTTGGTGCTCCCATCCAGCCACTCCGCCCGCTGTCCTCCGCCGCCGCCGTCCTCTTCCGCCTTGGCCATCCAGTCCAGCACATCCCGCGCGTCTTTCATGGACAGTCGTTTCCGGAGCGCAGCGTTGTAAAACAGCGGGCTCTCGATGGCCTCACTGAGCGTCAGGCGGTAGGTGCGGTGATGGCGACACCACGACTGGATCAGGGCGGACCATTTCTGGAGCTGCGAGGTGCGCGTGGCGCTGTTGGGTTGCGGGGTGAAGAAGGGGGGGAAGGAGTAGGTTGGCGGGAATTGGAAGGGCAGCGCGGCGGTTGTCATTGTCTGTGTGTATGTGACTGTATGTGTACTATAGCAAGTTTGTGCTATGGATTCCCCACTATAGCTGGGATAGATCGTTCTGCAAGTGTTGGATTTGAATGATGAGATAGTTGGTGGTTGTTTTGTTCAGAAGCTGAGTCGATTGACCGATACCGCCGGTATCGATAAGCAAGGCGGCGGCGGCGGCAGCAAGCAGCAGGAGCCCCGCGATGGGAGCTAAACTCAACTTTCCGCTCTCCCTCCCTTCCTTTCTTTTCTCTCCGCTTTGGAGAATTTTCCGCCTTCGCCCCCGGCCGTCACCACCTTCCATTTCCCTCCCCCGCTGCACCGATTTACAATTGGGTTGTTTTGGGGTGTATCTTCCCCACCTTTTCGCATTGGAGTGACATGTTATCGAGTCAACGCTGCAAGACCACAATCACAATGACTCCTCCACCTGCCAAACGCCAGAAGCGCGATGAGTATCGCAAGCAGGCAGCCGCTACGAACCCCGACGGCGGCAGCAGCACCACCACCACCAACGAGACCAGCCTCCCCGCCCGGGTCAAGCTGCCCAAGAAGAAGTTCTACCGTCAGCGGGCGCATGCGAACCCGTTCTCGGATCATCAGTTGCAATAGTATGTTGGGTTTCTTGGTGTCTTCTATCCTCGACTACTGGGTGACTGACTTCTTTTGTGGAATAGTCCCTTCAGCCCGGCGCATATGGACTGGGCCTCGCACTTCCCTGCCTACGTCAACCCGGACCCATCGCAGACGAACCTCATCGGCACCCGCCAGCTGCTGAAGGATGTGGAGATCGTGGATATCGGGTGTGGATTCGGTGGGCTGCTCGTCGGTCTTGCGCCGTTACTGCCGGAGACATTGATGGTTGGTATGTATTACCCTGTTGTTGTTCGTTGTCTATCATATTCGCGCAGGGCATATCCTTTACCGCAAAGTAGCAGAGAGTTAACGTGCTGTCGGCGAACACAGGAATGGAAATCCGCGTCTCCGTCCTCGACTACCTGTCCACCCGGATCCAAGCCCTCCGCGCCCAGCAGCAGCAACTCCAGTCGACCCAAGCCTCCATCTCCACTTCCACCACCACCACCACCACCACCACTCAAGCCACAGCAGACGCAGCCCCCGAAGCGCCCACCACCGAATCCACCGCCATGGAAGCCGAACCGACCTCCACTGAAACCCCCTCCACCACCGACGAAACCACCGAAGCCACCACCCTCGTCCCCGGCGGCTACCAGAACATCACGGCAATCCGCAGCAACACGATGAAGTTCTTCCCCAATTTCTTCGCCAAGCACCAGCTGTCCAAGATCTTCATCTGCTTCCCGGACCCGCACTTCAAGGCCCGCAAGCACAAGGCCCGCATCGTCTCGGAGACGCTGAACGCCGAGTACGCCTACGCCCTGCGGCCCGGCGGCCTGCTCTACACCATCACTGACGTCGAGGAGTACCACCACTGGGTGCTGCGGCATTTCCGCGAGGGCGAGGACGCCGAGGCCGTCGATGGCGCTGTCGGCACGGTCAAGGAGCTGTTCGAGCGCCTGACGGACGAGGAGCTGGCGCAGGACCCCTGCGTGCGCGTCATGAGCGAGGAGACGGAGGAGTCGAAGAAGGTCACGCGCAACAAGGGCAATAAGTATGTCGCCGTGTTCCGGAGGAAGGAGGACCCCGCTTGGCCGGCTTAGGGCTTAACGAGCATCGTTTTGTCCTGGGAGTATGATTTCTCTGGAAGAGGGAGGACGGGTTTAGCAAAAAAGTTATATAGACGAATTGTATATGCTTGCGAACTGGATTGATTTCTGTGTGTCTATTTCGATGTAGGCGACTGTCTCTGGGGATCTACGGTTCGTCTTGTAGTTCAAGAGTCTGTCGACAAATATACTCTCTAGAGAAATGGCATCCCAGCTGTCATGATATTCGAAAAGGAGAAGCAACAAACCGCCAAAACAGTATCACGGAGAAAAGAAAAAGCATAACCACCACAACCGGCAAAACAACATTCTCATGCTCAGACCTCGTCCAGAAAACATTCTTCGCGTGCTAAACTCCCGCTTGCTGCTATGCATATCGATATGGTGGATTTCTAGTAGTCAACTTTGGCTGGCAAATGAACAATGCAAAATGATTCAAGAAAGATCAGGGTTGGCGCACTTGGCCCAAAAAATATATCAGCAGTGTGTATATGTGTCTCAGTCAAAGAGCCGAAGAGCCGCACTGTGACGCGGGGAGGAAGCGGTGGATTGTGGAGAATATGACTTGCAACCAACTCTCGACGTGAAAAAAGAATGCAGCAACACGAATCGAACCAGGATTCGAAGCTGTCAAAGGTGTTTTTGTTCGGGTGGAAAAATCTCAGGGGCATGCTTTCAGTCGGATGCCCTCGCAGCGTTCACACACGGCGAGCTGCACGGGGCCTCCGATGATGCGGCCCTTGGCCGTTCGTTTGGGCTCGCCCTCGCGGACAAAGTACCGCCCCTCGGGCCCGAACCCGTCGCCGCACTCGTGGCAGACGAAGCACTGGTCATGCCACTGGCCGCCGATGGCGGAGATCACCACATCGTCCAGGACGGGCTTCTTGCAGCCGAGGCAGCGGGGGGCGGTCCGGCGGGAATGGCATTGCAAGCACCACGCAAATCCATCCTTTTCCACGAATGGTTTCTCTGAGCTAAAGGGCTGGAAGTAGGAAAAAAAGGAAAGGTTAGCAGTGCGCAGGATCTAGGAACGTTTGGGGGGTTCTCGTACATCACCACATTCAGCACAGAAGAAATGACCGACATGCCACTCGGCCCCGCACGCCACGACCACTTCCCCTTCTATCGGTGTCTTACAACTCTTACACCTGGGGCTGAACAACTCGTGAAAGTCGAGGTGACAGTAGAATCTCAACGCTCGAGCTTCTTCATCATCGGCCGCTGACTCGGCTAGTCGCTCGGCTCTCTTCGCATCGGGCTCTTGGTAGAACGCTACGCACTCAAGAGGTGTCTGACAATGATGACACACAAAACACTCGGGATGGAATCGAGTGCCCGCGGCAGTCACAATTTTCCCCGCAATCGGAAGTGTACAGCTCTCGCACTTGGCAGTAGGTACCCCGGAGCGTGTATAAGACGATAGCCAACGACTCGCTGACGTCGTCGCAGTCTTTGGAGGAGCCCGGCTCAGGCCTGCATTACTATTTGGCGGAGTTGGTGATGGCTTCACAGCCATCCCGGAGCCCCCGCGAGAGCCAGAGATCTCAGAAATTCTAGGCTCCTTATCGTCCGGTAGGTTTATTACCGGGACGGGTGGTGCTTCGGACACTTCGATCGTGGGCGCTGGAGGCAGCGGTTGTGGTGTTGCATCCCAGCCCTTGTCGCGCTTGGGAGGGCTTTGTGCCTCGGTAGGTTTCCATCTGGGATCAAAACTCACTATAGGCCGACCGGCTCGGTCGCTCACCGCAGTGGGCATGGGAAGCCTGGTGCTGCGATCCCTGAGCTTCTTGCTCGTTGCAGCTCGAAGCTCGTCACTGCGGATCTCAAGGCCATCTTTCGTTGGAATCTGCTGCTGAGGTGCCTCAAGTTCAGGCGGCGCTTCTTGGGACCGAGGCTCGTTCGTCGTATACTCAGGATTTCTCGTTTGACTCGGAGGATTCTTATGGATCTCGAAGCGAGAAAGCTTATCAACGAATGAGAGACTACCAAAGCGACCAGGCAGAGGTCGGGACCCGCGAGGAAGGGCATTCCGGGGCTTGCTCCTCAAAGCAGATGAATCAGATCTAGAGAAGATTGAACGACTATCCTCATCCTTCCGAGGAGAAAGATGGGGCTCTTCGTAGATTTGGTCGTCCGGGTTTCTGAAGATGCCTCTGGATGTTTCGTTCTTGACACTGGCTGAGCCTAATCCATGATTATCGCCCGGGGTCACCGTTGATTCACCCTCTTGAGGGAGTGCGAAATTGACCTTCATGTTTCTTCGCAGGCTCCCTCCCTTGGTCGGACTTTTCGTCGGGCTTGACCCTTCTTCCAAGATGGTGTGTGAAGCTCCATCGACTGAGGACTTTCTTTCACTTCCCCGAAAGCCGTTCGTCCCACTATGGCTAACAGTCGATCCCTGGAACATAAGCCGACGACTGTCCCTGCGTGCTGTGGGGGAGCTAGGACCACCATTTTGAGACGCGAAGCTACTTCTTGGAGGGCTTTGTTGGAGATCTTGCAGATCGGGATTCTGGTAAGGTGCATAGGGGTTCTTATACGGTATACCTGGATTTTGATGCATCCATACCAATTCCGTGGCCTCATCTTGGGCAGCAGCGTGGAGATCATGTTCGTCATGGAGGTCCATTTCCTGCAATGCATCACGCAAGGATCTTGCCTCTTCTTTCTCTATGCGTCGTTGGGGATTTTCACGATATGTAGGCCGTGGGGGAATCTGTTCCACTCGCGAAAAAACCCGCGCGGGTGATACAGTTTGCCTAATTGGGATAGTTCTCGGTTCCTGGACCAAAGGACGTCCGGTGGGACCTCCCAAAGCGGAGGCTGGTCTATGGTTAGAGAGCGAACTGGTGGCCCTAGGGAATCTGGCCTCTGGGGAGGGAGGGCTAGACTGCATCCTCGGTGGACCATAAGACGACATCGCCGATGCCGCTCGCGGAGGTAAATCATCATGAGGATGAGTAGGCGCCGCAGCAGGTCTTACGGGAAGCGGCCTGGATCCGCCAGGACGTGTAGGACGATTAGTCCGCAGATCTTTCAAATAGGTTGCTGTAGGTCGAAGATCAGCATGGAGACCTCGATCCGAAGCGGTGACAGTCCGAATGAGACACGAGACAGATAAAGGCTGGATGGGGAAGAGAATGCTTTGGCGCGGCACTGTAAACATACCGATCTGGTCGTCGGACATATAAGTCGGGCCAGGAGGGGAGAACTTGCGTTGGCCCTCCTTGGGCTTCTGAGTTTGAGGCCTATGCATCATACTGGCCATGGAGATGTATGGTGAAGAGTCATGAACCACAGGAAAATATTTGGACGAGAGAAGGGGAGGGATTCGAGTGATGAGTTGGCTGCTGCTCAAGGCAGGGAGGGCTATGAAGTCAGTGACTATTATAGCTGAACAGGGCCAATGAGAGGTGGAAAGGTGGCTGGGGCGAGTGGATCAGAGACAAGCTGGAATGAACTAGACAGATCGGATCAGTCTAAGTCGATTTGTTGCTTGTTTCATCTGCGGTGTCAGAGGAACGAGGATTGCTGCAATGGAGTCTAGTGTGTGTGCATTGCCGATCGGGAACTAGATCAGTACTCCCTCGTGAGTAGAAATCATTGAATCTCGGTTTAGTAGTAGGGGGGGGGAGGTCAATGAGGGGGAGAAGCTGAAAATACAGTGTCGGAGATTAGACTGGCACGATAACAAGTTTGATCGGGACTTTTCCTCAGGCACCACATCTTCAGCTCAGCCGCAGCAGAGCTGAGCTCTGGCCATCAATGATGATGATGATTGATGATGATTGCTGATTCCATCACCCATGACAACCAGGTACACTACTTAGGCACTTAGGCACCAAGGCACACATCGGGCACAGGACAAACAGGCCAAACTAGCCAAATATCTGCCATTTTCCTGAGGCCACCGCGGGGTAGAGATAGCTAAGCCTGGTCAGGTTAGCCCCGTTTCCTTCAGCTGTGTCCCGTGATCGGATGCTGAGACGATTCCCATTCTAGTAAGACCCTTGAGTTGCCAGAGCCAAGTACAAGGTAGGTAAGTTGCCCAGCATGATACGGAGTACGGAGACAACCTGAAAAGATACAGACCTTCCGCAATCTTCCGTGTGAAAGATCCTTAGCAGCAGCCATGCTTCATGACAGCGTGCAGCCGCACGTGGCTCTCGGGCCATTCTTTCCTGTCTCCAGAACATGTCTGCATCATTGACAACCTGGAATTGCGCAACTCTAGAAGTGAACCCCGGATTCACATCGTCGAGGTGGAGCCTGGAAATGATCTGGAGCTGCTGTCATCACTCATCAGTCATCACCCCCAAACTCTTTCTGACTGGCGCAACCAACCGACGCTACTCGTCTCCTCCCCGGACTCCGCACCGGGTCAATCGGCATATCAGGTCCCCTTTCATACTCCCGCCTAGAGCCCAGCTGCTCCTCTTCATGTGTGGGATTTACTTTTGGCCCAATGATGGGCTCTCTTCGAGTCGGACAACTCGCCGACTGATGCCCGTTAACCGTTCTTGACTGGCTAGATTCGGGCCCAAATCTCGTTAGTAGAAGGATGGATCAATGACACATCGTTCGCTTTAGCCTCTATCTCTGCTTGACTCCTCCCCTTCGTCCTTCGAGATGTACTTGTTCTCCTCTTTCTGGCCGTCTGGTCCACTCTGCCCATGGCTGGGACTGACACGCATCTGGGATAAATCCGCACTGCGCTCTATGTCGTGAACCTGATAGAAATCGACCAACGAGGTCCAACCTAAGACTCGTTTTCTCGCAACTCTATCCTTGCAGGCTGGCTGTGATTAATCATGGCAGATAATGCTCCAATCGACACCATTCGTTCACAACGACATGATAGCGACCCGAATCTAGAACCATCGTCTGATCTGGATAATCCACAACTGTCTGCCCCGCTGGACGCAGAGTCCAAGTATGAGCAAGACGTTCCTCCGGATGGAGGATATGGCTGGGTCTGTGTTGCCTGTGTGTTCTGGATCAATGCCCACACCTGGGGCATCAACAGCGTCAGTAGTCGTCATGCACATGGGAAAATCCGACGGCTGACCAACCAATATAGAGTTACGGCGTGTTTCTCTC